GTAGAATACAATTATTTTATAAAGCGTGTAATATAAAATAAAATGATACTTATTCAACTTAAATCTATATTAATTACAAAATTGATATAAGTAATAAATTCATCAAACGTTATTTTGAATGCAAATGCAAAACATTTAGGAAATCGTTTTATAATACTGTTTGATGAATATTTACTTGCCTGGATTTTTCTTCCTTGGCTTGTGCTTTCATTTGTTGAACTTCCATGGAATCTGGCTTGCGCCTCCTCATAAAGAGATCATGGTTGCCAATGCACAGGTCCAGGATCTTAACAAATAATATGTGAGCACCTGTGTCACTATTATGTTCGTTCAACCTTAAAGCTATCAAGCCCTTCACCCAGCTGCCAACATCTGACTGTTTCTTTACCAGTTTATTCATGCGAGCTTTCTGCGAGAAGAACATGAAGTTTGGCGATGTTTTCTCCATAGGTTTGATTACAAACTTCTTGTCATCAAAGCTAATATGACGAATTTCCGACCATGTAAACGTAGTCTTCGGGGCTAATTTGTTTTCTTTTTCATAAATATTTAATCCTAATGCTGTTACTCCAAGCCAGAGATCTGTTTCCTTTTTATTCTGTAATGGACGATAATGAACGACAAGAGAAATTAAGAATTTTTTAAATTAAAAATTTTTTTTTCAAATACAAAAATGATTAATACATTATATACTTACACTAATAGGAAAGTAGTTTACACCATACATATCGAGATCCTGAGCAATCTTAAGATATTCCATTTCTGCTTCATCTCGAGACATACCACGATGATCAGCGTACCAAATTTTTATTCTGTCCTCCCACATTTCTGGAGTCATTTGATATTGATCTATAACTCTCTGTGGAAGCAAGTCTTCACTGGCAAGCATTCCAGGACGATATGAAACTTCATCATAATCGCCATACTAATAATTAAAATAAAAATTGAAATTTTTTTTTATATACATATAATTATTCGTGACAGAATTGATTTTCATTAAAAATTAATTTTTCAATGCTATATTCAAATATATATATATATATATATATATATATATATATATATAACAACTAAACTAA